CCAGAAGGTCGAAAGTTTCGAATTTGAAATATTTCATACATGGTGTATGTGTCTAAATATTTCATATAGAAGAACATCCACTGTCAACATAAACAAATTGATTGAAATTGCATATGAAGATTCATCTAAGGTGAAAAGGAATTTCTCAACACGAAAATATATGTCTGAGTGGCGGAGACAGGGGGAACCAGCAGGGGTTGTGGCCTCTCTTCCCCAAATTTTTTTATATAGAGAGTGCTAAATTTCGTAGCATAAAATTTAAAAAAATTAAAATTTCGCCCCTGCTTATTGAGAAATTTATCATTTTGCCCCTGTAATTTATACTTTCTGGCTCCGCCACTGTGTCTGAATGGAAAGATTTGGATTGAAGTAGAGTTTCAGCTCTGAGAAACTTTAGGTTATTCAAGATGAAAGTGGAAAAATAAGAGTCCAGAGAATGCAAAGAAAGATGGTGATGATGTTAGAGGAAAAGAAGGAAATGGTTTGTGTAAGTTAGAGGAAGAAGCGATGCTACAGAAAGATATGCATAAGGAGAAGGGACCAAAAGTTCATTAATTTTTATTTTAGGAGAGAATGTCAATAAAAAATAAAAATAAAAATTAAAAAAAAGACTAAACACAATTAAACATTGACCAAGTATATTGAATCGAATTTTGAGAGAAAAAGGAATCACACAACATTATACTTCTTTCCTTTTGAAGGGCTTTTCCTCCTATGATCACACACAATTTTAGGATCTAAATGGATCTTTAAGAGGAAAATGAAACCTGATGGTTCCATTGATAAATACAAGGCCAGGCTTGTAATCAAAGGATATAAACAACGAGAAGGTTTAGACTGCTTTGATACGTATTCTCCCGTGACGAGAATAAATTCCATAAGGATGATACTTGCTATTGCAGCCTTAAGAAATTTGGAAATACATCAAATGGATGTTAAAACAAATTTTTTAAATGCAGATTTAGATGAAGAAATCTATATGGAACAACCCGAGAGTTTTCGAGCTCCAGGAACAAAAAAGAAAGTTTGTAAACTAGTAAAGTCCCTGTACGGTCTAAAGCAAGTACCTAAAAAGTGGCATGAAAAATTTGACCATGCAATGATTACTAGTGGATTCAAAATTAATGAGTGTGACAAATGCATTTATGTCAAAGAGATAGAAAATGATTATGTCATATTATGTCTATATGTAGACGATATAGTCGTTGATAGTAGTGACAAGTTGGTCAAATCTACCAAGAACATGTTAAACTCTAAGTTTGACATGAAAGACATGGGTCTAGCTGATGTGATTTTAGGTGTTAAAAATCATAAGGACAACATATGGTCTAGTTTTTAGTCAAGCTCATTACATAGACAAAATTCTGGGCAAGTTTAACAAGAATGATTCTGGAGTCGCAAAAACACCATTAGATAACAGTATTTTATCCAAAAATCGTGGAAAAGGTATATCTCAAGTAGAATACTCTCGGATAATAGGGAGTTTGATGTATCTAATGAGTTGTACTAGACCAGATATTGCTTACGTTGTGAGCAAATTGAGTTCATACACGAGTAATCCTAGTGCTGAACACTGGACTGCTATAATTAGAGTACTGAGGTATCTAAGACATACTCGCGATTATGGACTGCATTATACCAGATATCATATGTGTTGGAAGGATACACGGATGCCAATTAGATATCTGATATAAAGGACTCACACTGTACAAGTGACCATGTGTTTACAATAGCTGGGGCAGCCGTGTTATGAAAATCCTCAAAACAAACTGTAATAGCCAGATCCACAATAGAATCCGAGTTCATTGCCTTGGATAAGTGTGGTGAGGAGGCTGAATGGCTACACCATTTTTTGAAGGATATTCCAAAATGGGAAAAACCTGTACCACCTATCAGTATTCATTGTGATAGTCAATCGGCGATTGGAAGGGCACGGAGTACTATCTATAATGGTAAGTCGAAACATCTTCGTCGTCGACACAATACTATTAGACAACTCCTCTCAACAGGGATTATCACAATTGATTATGTGAAGTTAAGGGATAATCTTGCGGATCCGCTAACCAAAAGGTTAAATAGAGAGGCAGTTGAAAAATTGACCAAAGGAATGGGTGTAAAGCATGTGAAGAAATAAAAGTCTTAAGAAGGAAAACCCAACCTAGTTGACTGAAGATCCCAAGATCTAGGTTCAATGGGACAACCTAATCATAAGACTTAGTGTGGTCACTGTAGGGGTAAAACTCAACTCATTCCTGTCATCAAACAATGATGTGATGGAAAATGATAGCAAACAGTTGCTTTAATGATACTTAAGTGAGTAATACCATTTACTCTAGACTTAAAGAGTCACCTATGTAAGAGAAGTGGGGCCGCTTCAAAGGAGACCTGTTAAGGCTTAGTTCTTTAGAAACACTTGCAGAACCAGGACGTGTTAATGGCCAAAATGGACAAAATTATGAGAACAGAACTAAATAAAAATGGTTCCTGTGTATTGTATGTGGTTTCTTTACACAATACAGCCGGACAGTTTAAGGACATCGCGTCTACTGGACAGCTAGTAAAGCAAACATACTTTACAAGGAGAAAGTTCAAAGGGTAAAACCTACTTTCTTTATGCAGGGATCAATTGGTGAACACCATCATCGTTTATTCGAAACAATATCTCATTCATGTGGGGGATTGTTGGAATGAGTAGTAAGTGTATGAAAATTAAGTTTCTCGAAAGTTGGAAAAGTAGAGTTCAGGTTAAGGGACTTTATCCCACATTGGTGTTTGGAAGAGTTGGAGCTCACTTTATAAGTGAGAGCCCAAAATTTACTTGCAAGTTGACTTGCCAGTACTATACAACATCTCTCCTGCTCGCGTGCGTCCGCGCAGGGGGGATGCAAATGGAGGTCCGATTCGGGGCCAAAATAGCCTGACTTATGTGTGCGCATGACCTGCGGACACGAATGCCGATTTGAACTCTCACGGGCCTGATCAACCCACGTTTTGCTCCGGTTCGAATTTCGAATTAACTTTTTCCAGCTAAATTTTAATGGAGAATTATATTCATTCATTTCAGTCAAAATGAGACTGAAACGTTGCAATTGTTTTGCTGTCATGAATGATCAGAATAAATTAGCAGATTTAATTATATTAAAAGGTAGAAATAAATTCATTTGACTGTTGGGCTGGTTAAAAACGTTTTGGAGGTTTTGTGCCATGATTCTCTGTATTTAACAGAATTAAAATGCTGAAACCGTTACAAGGTTTGCTGCCATTTGAAAGGTTTCTCCAGCCTATAAATAAGCACTCATTTTCTAAAGTTTAACGCACCTTTTCTCCCATCTCTTCTCAGATTCTTTTGAGCCTTTCTTTCCTTCCAATTTTTGGTGTTCATCAATTTGTTCTAAGTTCTAGTTCGCTTGTAGAGTTGCTTTGTGCTAAGTAGTCTCCGCGTTTCCGTTATATCCTGGGAAACAGTTGCTCGAGATCCTCAAGCACCTTTAAGAGGGGATAAATCTGTTTAAGAAGATCGTGTTTTCATGAGTCTCAGATTTTTCCTTTTCTGATTTTCCTTAGCCTTTGAGAATACTCTTCATATTTTTTCCAACAGTATTTCCTTCTTCCTCATCTTGGAAGAAGAAGCCGGTATTCCAATCGAGCTCTGAGATGCGGGGACATAATGAAAAAGGTGGAATTGTATATGAGGCATCACACTACAATCTAGGCGAAGCGACGAGCAAGGCAACACTGAATTCGTAGGGCAATCCATAGAATTGATGCTAATTGGGGAAATTGCTGTAGACCTTTGAGTAGAAGAGAACGCTAGAGGAGAGGTTTGATTTCACTGTGAAGGGAAGACGACGAAGGAATCAGACAAAAGAAAAAGACAGATTTGGTGCGGTGAAATGGGAGGATGACACCTGCATTGGATCGCATTTGGAGGGGCACGATGGACACAGAGCAGCACGCGTGGAAGGAGAAAAATTTGGAGTTTACACGTGGGAAAGTCCATCCCTTGAGGGACGATTGAACCAGTGTAAAATGGGTGTTTTCCTCCTTTAAACATCTATAGTACTTAATTAAAGCAACAAACAAAAAGGACATGTGTCAGCACCACAATGAAAATTTTCCCACCAAAAGTCATTTTTAGTACAAAATCATTTTTGACACGTGGCACTCTAACTAATTAGAAAAAAAAAGATAGAATAGATAAATACATAAATCTCTTAATTATAGCTACATAAAAATATCTTAATTATAGGTATATACTAATCCCTTAAAACAACAATATTTAGTTGATAAAATCAAATGGAAGGAAATCCCCTTAAATCAAGTGAAACACCAGGAATATTTTCCCAATCCCCGATTTCAAAGAATCTCTTCCATTCCGCTCCTCTCTCACACCCGTGCCTTTAAATCAATTACTTAAAATCTGATATCAATTATCAATCCATCTCTTTCTACAACAGAGAAAAAATAAACTGTCATGAAAGAAATTTGATTTTTTTAAGGATGACTTTTTTTTATTCTTTTGTTGTAGATATTGGTTTATGATTTATGTAAACCCGGGCATAAGTTAACTGTTATAAATTAAATGTTGTAAATATGGGCATAGATTTATGTGTAATAACTTACTTTCTGTACTTTCAATCGATTTTTTATTCTTCTAATTTTTTTTATTCTTTTAAAAATGATTCGTATTTTTTATTTAATCAATTTAAGAATACAGGCGACACCCTGGACATTCCCCCAGGGCAAGCATCTAGTTTACTTTAGAACAAAACAGTAAAAACCATGTGTTGAATATGTAGTATTTTTCAATTAGTCTTAACTCACCGCCAAGTCATGTCACCAAATTTGTGAGAATTTGGCCTATAAAAACCCACATTTCACTTCCCACATTCTTCATCCCCAAAAAGCTTCTTTGTTCCAATAATATTTATTCCTTCTTATAACCTCGACAACTCCAAAACACACAATACTATTCTCTAAGCAAAAAAAAAAAAAAAAAAATGGCCAAACACCCTCATTCATCCATCACTTTCCTTATAATCGTCCTCCTCAACGTTGTGTTCTCAACAAGCATTGCATCGGGCCGCGAAATTCCGGTCGGCGATGCGAAAAACCTGGACGGCAAGAAACTGCACCCGGAATCCTTCATTGGTCATGACGGAAGCGTCCTGGTGCCCGGCGTGGGCAGGTGGATGTTCCCGAAGCCCGGAACTCACTTCAACCCAATCACCTACAACCCCGTCACCGGGACTAACGGCGGAAATGGCGTCAGCATTCCCGGACTTGGTGGCGGCTCATCCACCGGAATCGGGTATGTTCCCGGTGGTGATGACACATTTGTGCCCAACCCGGGTTTTGAAGTGCCTTCTGCTGGCGGAAGCGTTCCCGTGCCTTCAACCCCTTGAGTGTGTGTTCTGGATCAAGCAGAATAAAGAATGAGATCATGATGATGATGCCCTGTTTAGCTAGTTTTCCTTGTAATGGAATAGATCATTGTCTTAAGTTTTGGTGAGTCTTTGAGAGTTTGGAGAAGTGTGTGTGTGTGTGTGTGTTTTTTTTCTTTCTTTTTGTTTGTCAGTTTGTGTCTGTTGTATGAATCTCTCAGCTTCTAGTTTTGGATTAATAAAAAGTTTGATATATTTTTTTTTCCCCTAGTTTTCGATTCTTGAAGTTGTTCTAACTGCAGAAACATGAACGTGGAACATGGTTCATAATGGTATATACCTGAAATCTTAATGGGAACCGGGAAACACCGCAGGAATTTTGTATAGCCAAACCCGAAGTGAATTCTAGTAAAACTGGAACTGATAGGGATGGAGAAAGATAGTGAACCAATGGAACAGTAAAAAAGACACAACTATTATTAATTTTCCTCAGTTATTTGACTACCTTATTGATCTAGCATATTTTGCATCAGGTATAGAAAATACTCTTTTCTGGTCTTTCTCACTGATATATGTGGCTAATGAGAAATTATTTTTATACTATCAGTTTTGGAATTTGTATAGTTACGTGAACTTTCAAACAAATTTTAAAGATGATGGTAACAAATACACCTATCTTAAGAAGATGAATTAGAACTACATTATATAGCTTTCATTTGAGGAACCAAAAAAATGGAATTAGAATCAGTTTGAAGGATTTGATATCATGTTATGTTAGTGGTCACAGTTTGCTTAGGAGTATCTTGAAGTTTTAAATTTAATCACAAGTTCTATCCGTACACAGTACACACCACGTGTATGATTAGATCTTAAAATAAAGCGCGGAAATTCACTAACAAGATAAAATGATACACATTAAATAGAAACACAATCAAATGTCATTTGATGATTTTGGACGATTGACACAATACTTAATGCACAACTTAAATCTGCGATTATTCATGTCCTTTCTCATTCAATAAGGTATTTGACCAGAAAAGCAAGTCATAAAGGAAACCAAAAAATTTTTGTTAATAAAAGAGGCAAATTTTTGCCTGATATTTAGTCAAAATCACAAAATCTAATGACAAGGAACTCTCATTTTGGCACTTTGTTTAAGGAAGCAATCATCACACGATTAGGACATCCCTTAAGAACATGTTACCTATCTAAAGACATTTTAATAACACTTTCCCTGCATTTAATTGGCAAACCTAATTTTGTGGGCTATTTGCCACAAAATCTAGGACAGATTATGATAGCTAAAACTTTGATTCATTTTCCTCCATTCGAATGTTTCTCAAAGAAAACAACAGACACGTCTCCACTTGTGTATATTGGTTCAGGTCCATCTCAGTCTTTAATATTTCGAGCGAACCTGCATTAAAATTCACATCCAAAACATACCCTTGCTGTTTCCTTCCAGATCAATTCTAACAGACAGCCATTAGAGATATAGGAAATGCCATTTATATTCTACAGAGTTAATACTGAAAACAATGTAATAGTTGCAGACATTGATAACAAAATCAATACACATTGATAACACTCATACGGTACATTTCACAGTCGTGTCTTGCAAACTAGCTCACTGCTTTGCATGAACTAACTAACAGGCAATATCGAAGGAAAATTATCCACGAGTGACAGTGTAATAATACAACAAAAAACTGAGTCGGTACGTGATCAGGGAAGTATTAAAACCCTTGAAGAGCTGGAGAGAGTAAGTTAATTAGTGCATCGGGAGATGGGAACCCAACCCAAGAGCTTTTCTGCATATTTTTCATATCATGACCCCTGTAAACCATGGATTTACTTTTAGAATCAGGCAAATGATTGAGGATGAATACAAAAGAAGTGCAAGTAAAAAAAATGCAATAAATGCACAGAACGGTTGAGCCATAATAGGGGCTCTGCCATAGAACCAACATAACTGAGTTAGAACAGAAACAAACTTCACAAGCATGCATTTTGAGCAGATCCGTTAGAAGGCAAATAAATGTAAACTATTAACTCAAGTAAAAAGGTGGTTCAATCTACTTGGTTATTGTCATTGTTCTCTGATCTAGAGGAAAGTACAACAGGTATATTCCTGACATTGTGTACTCATAGATACTCTCAATGTAACTATGAAATCATAGGAAAGCTCCTAACATCTGACATGTAATTTACTTCAGCACTAGATGAGGAAATAAACTTCATCAAGTTCAACACAACATTACACACCTGAATTAGAAAATGACACAGCGTATCATTCCCTCTTAAGATAAAACCCCCAAGATATTGTACAGGTTTATTTGCGTTGTTAATGGGGCAATCAAGATAACGTCAGAATCATTTCCTTTCGTGAAATACAAGGGAATAAAGACGTTTATTGAGCCAATTTGATAGCAAAGACATTAATTTCTGACTGGCTTGATGAATAACTTAAAAACTACATAATTTTCTTACCATGTGGAAGAAGAGTTAATTACACAGGCTTAAGCATCAGAAACATCACTAATGTATCCAAAAATAAAAAGGAGAAAAGTTCCAGCTAAGTTACACCAGAAAACATTCCCTAAGATGGGTTTTTCTAAGTTACTAGTTCAAATGGGCCAATGTACATATGGATCATCTTATCATCTTGTTCGATCACATCGAATGAGTTGAAATATATTTGAATCACTTTCCCAAAGAGCCTCACAGATTCAAAGAGAACTTGAAAACTTATGGAATTATAAACTGTATGAGATCATAGAAGTAAAGGCCAAGTTTCAACTATGTATCAACAATAAGAGGCAAAAATCTATCACATAGGCCTCAGTTGCACCAGATAGATGATGTTTTCAAATCAACAGACATTAGAAAGTTAGTAATCAATTCAAGTACGATACCTATAAGAAATTTCAAGTTAAGCCCAGATGAAATACTGAATCCACATCTCTTAACTGCTAATCCTCTCACTGAACTGACTTAATCAGCAAACTGAAAGCTCTGCAATGCATCCTAATCTAAATACCATCTAGAGAATTACGGAGAAGCAGCCAACTAGTGAGCTTAACAACTATTCCTGATGAAATTATATCACGGTAGTTCATTCAGGCAGGAGCCGGAAATATCCAAGATTTAATTAATTACAAAATTTGTGCAGTAATGCTAATTCATTTACATCAAACAAAAGAAACGTAATGGCCAAAAGTGGTCCATTCTCCATCACACTTGAACACAAGCATCATAAGCATAAAAATCTTTATATCAACACCAACTTTTCAGTTGTCACAATCTTCTCTTCCAAATTAAACCATTCCACAATGCCTTTATTTCCACTCAAATTTAAAAAACACAGGAGCACTAGCAGTCCCGACACAGAAACATGAAGTGGCACACAATTCAGACTTTTTTAAAAAAAATTGAGTAGTTAGGAATGGATAGAAACATAAAATGCAATTGCAAGTTCAAAGAGTTCAAGAAGCAAAAGGGTTTTTCGGGGGAGATGTAAAAATACAATGGCGAAAAAAGTTATTACCTTAAGGGCATCAAAACCCGATGATTTTGAGCAGGAAAAAGCAGAGGAATCCAAAGAACACAGTCAAGAAAAGGTAATCTACAAAGACAAAGAAATTCGTCGACCCGTGGTTTCTCTTGACTGATTTTTTCTTGGTTACAGGTTCTTCTACATATTCTTCAATCTTTGCCATTGTTCCGGGCCTCCGCAGATCCCTCTATCGATCCAAGCTTGTCTGTTTTTCAGTTGCTTCGCTGCGGCTTTTGTTGTTATGCTTATGCCCTTCGGGTGTCACGTGCTCCACGTGCGGCTACAATTTTTGTTTGAAACAATTCCATAATAAAATAAAAAAGATTGCAATAAAATAGTGGAAGTTTACATTTGAAGAGCCCAATAATTTTGCTTCAGAAAAGCCCAAGAGACTAACGGACCAAAAGCCTAGATAAGAGAAATAAAATAGTGGCCCGTGACAGCGCGGAAAAACCCAAAAAAATTTGGACCATTTCTCGATTTGTGCGCGTCATCCTTGCGCAGAGGCCATGCTAATCTTCTCTGTATCGTTCCAACTTACGATCACTGACACACAACTTCAGTTACTCTTCTGAGGAAGCTTCAGATTTGTCATTTGAATACCTTCAAAGCCACATTCTGAGAAGTAAATGAGAAATCAGAACACCTTCAGCTTAATTATGATAGCTCTTAAGGAAACTTTTATGCGGTGTAAGGTTTTTAACAAAAGTGATCATCGTCGTTTGGCTTTTAGCATAAAAACTACAACACAGTGGGAAAAACCCAAACATCCTTTAACAGGGGCTCTGGAAATCAGAATTTAAATAACGAAATTGTGACCTAGGTTAGTATTATTATTAAGATGCTATAATAATAGAGAATTACCATAACGTAGAAATTAAATTTAGTTCTCTAGGTCATATTTAGCCCAAACTGAGATGAATAGTCTTTTAACATTTGAGCCCATGTATTTTTGTTTCTAATGGCTAGCCCATGTAACTAAAAGCCCTTGTTAAACCACACAAAACCAGGCCAAGCAACACTTGAAGTAAGAAAAAGTCCAAGCCATTGTTTTATTTACGCTTAATTGTCAAAAAAAATCCCATAACTTGGGGTGCTATATTCATTTGGTCCCAAAAGACCAAAATCGTCCGCCTCAGACCCCATAACTTGTATTTTTAATTTTCCGTGAGTTGACCGTTAAATGGAACGGCCACATGCCTCTCGCGTGACATTTCGTCAAAGGGCATATATGACCTTTCAATTTTTAACCGAAAAATGTTGACCCAAAACCGACTAACTCCAACCACTGCTCCTTCGCGTCGGCGACACCGTCCGATAATTATTATATTTCTGAAAAAAATATGTGACGACACGTATCAAATTGTAATTAATCAAAAAACATCTTTCAGAATTTAATGGATCGATCGTTCCCGTTTTTCTTCAGGAACTCAATCATTGAACTTGAAAAAAAAAACACTCCCAATTTCTTCGCCAAACTCACTTCATATTAGCAAATTCTCCAAACAAATCTGAACAAAAAAGAGTCCAACCAGAGCTTCATGCTTGTAATCTTCATCCAGAGTATTCTCTCCCCACCACATCTTCAAGTCCCAAGATTCGCCCAGATCAATTTTGATTCAATTTTCTCAATAATCTACTAATTTTCTTGCTCGTATTACCCTCAAATCCCCATATTAATTTCCCCAAATCCCTAAGTTGACATCTATTATTTGAGGGTTTATCAGTTTTGAGGAATAAAGTAGTCAATGGTGGCTTCTGGAGAAATATTCCTGCTTTCTGCACTAGTGAGTTTAGTTTTTTTTTTTTTAAAAAAATTATTTTTATTTTCTTCTTTTGGTGGGGAGTGGGAATCATGGAGAGCAGATCGTCTGTACATGATAATCCTTTCTTATTCTGCCTTCCAACAAAATCGGTGCCGTGTATATAAGAAAAAAATTAGTTCCATTCTTTTCTCCGCTTTATCTTTTAACTGGAATCCTTCCCTTTGATCGGAAAAAAGAATTTCTTCCTTCTACTCGTGTAAGATCTGGATCCAAGTTCATACTCGACAGTGAAAAAACAGTCTTATCTTTATCGTTTGTGTCCGATTCAGAGTTAAAAGTATTAGATTCTTCATCTGAAATTCACCCAGATCTAGGTGAGCCAAAAGAAACTCTTGAGTTGAAATTGAGGGGTTTGTTTGGGATTCAGATCACATGAGATAGATCTGCTCTCGAGAATCATCCCATTTCCCGCTTCAGCCTTCAAACCCACGTGCCTAACACGTGTCAAAATTCTTTTTTATTCTAATAGAATTTTTTAGTCAGGTTTTCACACGCACGCAACACTAAAATTCAAAGAATGCCCTTTAACAAAATGTTATGTGAGAAGCATGTGCCGTTCCATTTTAACAGTCAACTAACGGAAAAGTGGAAATGCAAGTTATGGGACTTGAGGAAGACGATTTTGGTCTTTTGGGACCAAATAAATATAGCACCCCAAGTTGTGGGATTTTTTGAACAATTAAACGTTTTATTTAATTTTTATCTCGTTTGAACTCAAATTTCTCCTCTCTGCCGATCTACTTGGTTGTGCTGGTGCAATTTCGCGAGGATCAAAGCTGTTACCTCAGCCGTTCGTCTTTAGGTGAGTGAGACAAATACTGTAAATCTTTTCACCTTTATAATCTACTATTCAATGACGTTTTTTATTTATTATTATTATTATTTGCCATAGCTCTCTTCAATTCTTTGTTAATTTGTGTATTTGGGCTGTAAGATTTGTGTGTAACGTTCTATTAAGTGGATGGGATTAAATGGAATCGGGAATAAGTTTATGGCGGAGGAGATGGGGGATATCTTTATCTGATTCTAACCCTAACCCATCTTCCCCTTAATTAGTTTGTGTTTGGTTTGCCAGTGTTCTTCCCACATGGATTTTTATGCATGTACAGTTTTGTTTCCTTATGGCATTAGTATAAGTTTGCTGTTACTGAGCAATTGGGGTTGCCCAGTTAGATAGATAATTTACTGGATTCACACCATATGAATTAAGAGTATATCATGAATATTTCTCTGCTTTTGAAGACTTGCCAATTTTTTTCGAATCTCATACTTGTCTTTCTTTGTGGTGATGTGGAATCTGGTTCTGATTTTGGAACCAACTTTTCCGTAGCTTAGTATCCAATTCTGTCACCCTTTTTTTGCTTATTTACTGCGTTGTAGCTCAATAGCTGATATGATCTACCGGGCAGTTCATGATATTTGCGTTTAGTACGTGCAAGGATGTCCACAAGAACTTGAATGGCTTCTGTATTTCTTTTCAAATTTTTCTCTAGGGTTAACTATATGTGAGTGGTTGACCCTAAATTATGAAGTTGAGTAATTTTCCCAGTTAACTACCCAGCAGTTCTTACCAAATCAATGATAACAGAACCTAGGCTTTAATTGTTCAACCCACCCTGTATATTAATGCAAATCAATCTATCTGAGGCCTTTCACGAGGTTGAGATCCTTAAGGCTCTGTTCGTTTGCATGACATTGGGGGGTTGGATTTGGAATTTGGGCCCCCAATGCTAAATCCGGTGTTCGGCTGTCCAAAAATAAGATGGCATTGGCATTGGCCCAATGCCAAAAGACTTCCAATGCCATGATTTCAATTCCGGGTTGAATCCATTAAGTGAATCACCCATTTAGGTAATGATGCTTTTTGAGGACGGTTTGGGGTTCACACCCCTCCATCAGTTAAAGGGAGCTTGTGTAAAGTGCTGTGATCTGTAGTTCAACAGACTACACGTATTGTTGATCTCAGAAGTCAATTAGGTGATGTATATGCAAACTTAAAAATTAAATAAAAATAGGATTTGCTTGGGCTATGGGAATTGGCATACTTTCATGATCCTGATTGGCCAGGATTGGTATAATAAATAAAGTTGTAGTATTCAATATTTCTTTCAAGTCACATCGTCTTGGACCTTGATGTTCTTATGATCTTATCAGTCTGCACATTTGCTGGATCTTTTTTTTGTGTTAACTAAATTTGAGCTTCTGTGTGGGTTTGAATTTGTTTTGTCATTTGAATCTAAAGAGACTAATTTGAGGGATCTTTTGTACTTGGATACAGGGTGGTTCAAAGATGGCTGGCCGAACTCCGATTAGAACAATAAACTCAGCTCTTATTGCTATGATTGCTGATGAGGTAAATAACGTCATTATTTCAGTTTGTAATGAATCTGCCTTTATTCAAGTTTCTCACTGGACCTGTTTACGTTTGGCCCTGGCATGAATCTGTCTTCCTGGTTTCGTACATCCAATGAGATATGTGGTTTAATTTCCTATCGTATCTGTTCCATCTGTTTCCACCTAGTGGGAAAAAGGCTTGTTGTTGTTGTTGTTGTTGTTGATGATGATGCTGTATCTGTTCCATCTGTTTCGAACTGATTCCCATGGCAGGACAATAGAAATCTAGTCTAGTCTAGAGAGTCAGTTGATGATTTGCTTGATTTGAATGAATTTTGAGATTTGCATCCTTGCAAAGAAAATGTGTTGCAAGTAAAGTATGCAGCTAAGGATACAGAGTTTTTGTTATGTTGTCGAATGTCTCTTCATTTTACTTGCAATTTGCTGTTGGTGGAGGATCCAAAAATCAACTTCCTTTCTGTAAAAACAACATTTTCTTTCTCTGATTAAATGTTGTATATGCAGGACACTGTTACCGGTTTTTTACTTGCTGGAGTTGGTAATGTTGACTTGAGGAGGAAAACTAATTACCTCATTGTGGACTCAAGTAAGAGTCAGTTCCTTCTCTGTAACTGTTCAAACTGGAAAAATGTTACCTCTAATTTTGCTTTGGCTGAAAAACTGATCGACAATTTGTGTATTTAGGTTTCATTCTCTGTGTGTGTGCTAATCTGTTAATTATTTTTTATCAGAAACAACTGTGAAACAGATCGAAGATGCATTCAAGGATTTCACTTCACGGGAAGACGTTGCTGTAGTACTACTCAGCCAATATGTAAGTTTTTCCAATGATGGTGATACTGTTTGTCAAAGTTTCTATAAGAATCGGTAGAATAAAATCTTTCTACCATAGGTGTAGTTTTGATTAATATGGTCTATTTACTAAACCCATTTAGTCCACCATGAAACTATATTACATGCTGATTCTCTTCTCCTGGTGATTTTGTCTGATCAGTATCTGTTCCTGGCATGATTTTCAGATCGCAAATATGATAAGGTTTTTAGTGGATAGCTACAACAAGCCAGTTCCAGCTATTCTGGAAATCCCTTCCAAGGACCATCCCTATGATCCCGCACACGACTCTGTACTTTCACGAGTGAAGTACCTCTTCAATACCGAATCTGTGGCATCAGGAAGGCGTTAACTTGTGTCAACTGATTCACATGGATATGCTATGAGGAAGATACTAGCTGATTCATTTGGATTCGCCCACAATCTTGTCATAAAGTTGTATGCATCCGTTTTTCGTTTATTCCGTATAGTTAATCTTCTTCAGGAATTCTATTGGCATTTGTTAAATCTAATAAGTGACGAATAAAAACTTTCAGCGAGTATGTAAATGACGTGTGGGATCATTATCTTCTATTTCTGGAAAAAAGAAGCATGCAGTTTGTATTTTATTTCGCTGTTGAAGTTGGAGGGTTTTTCTGCAGTTTTACAGGCGCCCTCTCGGTGACAAAAATATTTGTGTTTTGAAAGTCTCATCGTACTGTGATATATATCGAATTTTGTATTCTAGAAATCTCATTCCATTTCTCTATTCATTGTGCATTCTGGTGATTCTTTGCAGCACATTGACGTTAAGTTCTGAGCTTGCATGTTGGTGTGATCCTTTTTTTAACCAGTTGTATTGATCTTTGCCATGGCCCATTAGGCAATCAGTTGATTGCTCTATGATTATTGAGAAGTTTGATTGAAACTCCCAACTTGATGAAAAAAAAAGCAGGACTATCCATTGAATATCGTGCCTAATTCTGCTGTTTATTTATTTTTGTTAAGATTCTGCTGTTTATTACTTCTATTAGTTGAATATGCGATTTTAACTTCTTTTCTTGTTTACCTTAGAGAAAGTATCTTTCTTTCTGTTTCTCTGTTATAATAGGTTTATTGAGGCATATGGTGTAGGACTTGGGAAGTTTTTGATAAGCAATAGTTCCATTATTAATTGGTATTGGTTGGATCAGAAGTTGATTGCTTTGCGTGGTTTTGGGAAACCAATTGGATTTGCTTTTGTGGGTAGTCAAATTTTCTTCATGACTGATGCTTCCTCATTCTTGAGAGGGCAGTTGGTTCTTTTTACCTTTTTTTTTAATACAAACACATTTAACTTTTTGAGTATTAAGAAACAAAAATTGACCTTGAAACTCATACATATTGCTATAAAACAAGCTGGTGTTTTATCTTTTTATGTTCATTGATAAATTTGAGTTTTTGAAACCTTCATAAGATCTTTCAGATGTTAGTTTGTTTGTGTTGGATCTGTCTGTAGACAACCAACCATTTTTACTTGCGATTTTGTCAACCAGACTTGAAGATCCTGGATTTTCAGTGTTTTCCAGCTAGTTGAATTTTGTTTTAATTTTTGACCTGCTTTTCTTACTGGGTGTGAGGGTTTCTTCTGGATTTTGAATGTTCAAGCTTAGTGTTTTGTTTGTCAGAGTAAAACATGGAGCATTCATCGATTTTCTTGCCTTTTACTTTTACGGTCTTCTTCAAACTCTATGTCGGCAACTGCTTCCAGTTTTCGCAAGCTTTCTATTCTTAGTGCTTTTATATTCTTTGCAGTTGAACAGAAACTAGATAATAACTTTTATGTTCCTTCACCTGAGGTATTTGACATTCACATGGTTTTGATGTTATATCCATTGCAGCCATTTGGCCAAAACGCATTTGCACATGATGTTATTTGAATACAGCATAGCACATTTTCATTTTCTCATCATCAATAGTATTTTCATTTAGTTTTGATGTTATTTGAATTCAGCTCATGGATCCATCCTTGTTCCTATCTGATGGTGAAAGTGATGATGAGAGCTCATCAAGTACAGTAAGGAAGATATTTGTTATCCTTCGTAGGTTGGAATTTGCTTCTCAGGCTTCACAATGGCATGAAAGACATAGGGTAAAAGAGCCAAGTATTGATTACAGCATAGCACGAGAAATCTACCTAAGGCGTCTATATTATAGAAATGATAGGGTTTGTAGGGAGCAACTCCGTCTCAATAAACATTGTTTTTCTGTTTTATGTACCAATTTAAAGGAGTTGGGGATGAAAGATTCAAACCATGTCACGGTTGAAGAAGTAGTTGCAATGTTTCTTTATGTCCTCTCTTTTAATCTGACAAATCGCAAAGTCAGTTTTAATTTCATTAGATCAGGGGAAACTGTTAGTCGATACTTCAATATAGTCCTACATGCTGTACTAAAACTAGGGAGGCAATATGTTGTGCAACCTACAACAGAAATGGAAGGATTTGAGGATGAATAATGGGACTGGTTTGAGGTAAATATTATATTTAGTTGTTGATTATTTTGGAAATTATAGTCTAAAAGTTTTAATTATTAATTAGTGCTTTTATTATGGTAGAATTGTCTTGGAACACTAGATGGGACCCATGTTGAACTCGTTGTTCCATTGAGAAATCAAGGAAGGTATAGAAATCGGAAAGGCAACATCACAACAAATGTCTTGGCGGTATGTTCTCGTGACCTAAGGTTCACTTATGCTTTACCGGGATGGGAAGGATCTGCAGTTGATAGTAGAGTATTGCGAGATTCTTTGACTAGAAAAGACCCCTTGATAGTTCCTAAAGGTATGTGGTAATTAGCCAATTCTGTTTGCTCAATATATGTATTTTTTTGTTTCTTTGTGCATTAGTTTTTTAAGGTGTATAAAGTACTAACAAGAATGTTTCCATTTGATTTTGTAGGCAAATATTTTTTGGTGGATGCGGGTTATACCAATGGTCCCGGTTTTCTTGCGCCTTATAGAGGAACTAGATATCATCTCAATGAATGGTCAGCCCAAGGTAATAATCCACAAACTCCTAAGGAGTTATATAACCTCCGTCATGCAACTGCTAGAAATGTGATTGAGAGAGCTTTTGGTGTGTTGAAAAAGCGATGGAAAATTTTGAGAGAAGCGTCTTTTTATGATGTCAAAACAACTGTGAAGATTATCAATGCTTGTGTTATCCTTCACAATCTTATTCGAGTAGAAGAACATAATGATCCATTACTGGAAGAAGTTGATCATGAGATTCTTAACCGAGTTAATCCAGATGGTGATGATCAGAATGAGGAAGAACAGAACAGCCAAACATGCGAGGTGGTGCGAATGTTGAAGACTCGGATCGCATTACACTTGTGCAATCTACACATGAGTGGACTAGATTTAGGAATGCGTTAGCTCAAGCTATGTTTATTGATTATCAAAACATGCGTAGATGAAATGGTCTTGTTAATTTATGTTCAATAAAACTATTAGTTTTAAGTTTCATTGTTTGTATAAGACTTTCACGTCGTGTGGTATTTTAGTGTTAGTGGTAGTATTTATGTTAATGTAACAGTGTTGGAACGACCTAAATTGATCATTATAATGAATATATAAATAATTGATAAATTTAAAAAATAAAAATTTAAAGAGTTTCCTCTTTGTCACCTTAAAGATGGTAACAAAATATATTATTTTAGAAATGATACTATTTAACATAACAAAAATTAAAAGTTGAAATAATTTCAAAATAAATCAATTTTTTCTTTTTTTTCTTTATTTTTGTAAAAAATAAGCAAAAGCCAAACCAACCCAATTACTAGACTATACGAACAGAGAATTTGGAATCCCAGTTGAATTTGTGACCAATTCTATGATTTTGCCGAACGGATAAATTGACATTGAATAAGAATATCTTGAATGCCAATTGAATTCCAAAATATTCTAATGCCAATTGAATCCCAAAAGCAAGTAGCCGAACACACCCTAAGTTTTGTTTAATATTAAATAGAATCTTCCAAGGACAAGTGTGTGCATGACTAGTGCAGATTTGGGATTCTTCTATGACTTTAGGAAGATAGACAGTATGGGAGAACTGCTAAATACTAGGGAATGAGAACACATTAAAGTTCCTCCGATCGCACTTCTGGAACCATCTTTTAAGTTCAGGCTTTAGGGACCTTTACATAATTTTACTTAACTTTATTTTGTCCGGTTGGTGCTTTAGTATTTTGATTGTGCTATTTTTCCCATGTGTTTATTTGCAGTTAAGATTTTGTGTTCCTGTAATTTCTATACAGTCTTCAAATCTAGCTGGTTATGTGTAGCAGCTAACGCTTACCCATGCAGTACCGAATTGCTTCTGTGCTAATGCATTTCTTTTCCGTGCAGGAAATGGCTGACCTTGATGCTAAGGCTGATGATGTAATACAGAGAATTGATCAGTTACTGCACCCAAATGGGGATTTCGTGCTGTTGCGACAAGTCTTAACCAATGCATGGGATGATTTAGGGTCGGATCAGCGTTTAGATGAATTTGAAAGGGTCTCTTATAAATTTTTTCTGAACTTATTTTTTTTAACAGCCAGAGATGCTGCTATTGGTGAAAGGGACAATGTGAATGCTGCACTACAGGATGCTATCGTGTAGAGAGATGCCGCTATTAGGGAGAGAGATGCTGCTATCGCACAGAGGAACAAAGCTGCTGATCGTATTGTGGACTTAACACAGCTCCACCTTAACCAAAGCCAACACAGCTTGGCACCACACCCAGGGGGGAACGCTGTGTGATTTAAGATCCTCTCGTATGTATAAATTCCTAATAGTTTTATTGCTTGCGGTACTCCTAGATTTTTGGCATCTACCATGTTACAGCTCCTAAAACCTCTTGGATTCAACCTTAGAATTGTATATATATTTAAGTGGATGTTTTCTGTTTTCCTTGGGAAAAATTGGCGGGTCTACCCAAAGCTTTACATGCTTTATCAATTCTACCCTATTCTTTTTCGGTTAGCCAATATTATCCTAATCTATCCAACCGTTAACTGATTTTGTCCAATTTGCTATTTTCCGTCTAAATTAACGGAATTTTATTTGTTTTAATTATAAAAACACCTTAATAGTTTTAAAATTTATAAAAATGACCCCAAAAATTTACAAAAATTATAAAATAGTCTATTTTCAGTTTTTATTTAAAATTTCTATTTTTTGTTTCTTTTTACTATTTTTCATAACTATAAAAATATACTATATGATCTTTAAAAAAAAATATTTATTTTTAAACTTTAAAATACAAATTTTTATTTACATATTTGTATGTCATGTTTGATTTATATAAACATACTAATTTTTTAATAATACGGTTTTACAATAATGATAATATTTTTTAATCCATTTTTTTCAATCTAAAGAATAAGATTATTTAACTAATACTAAGTTTTCACAAAAAAATTAAACAATTCACATAGATTAAAAAAGAATCTATTTGTATACTTTAATGTATTACAATTTAATTCAACTGACTTTAGATTGTATTTTAAAATTTAAAAAGAAATCAAAACTAAAATATAAATTTTTTAAAAAAGCCAAGTACAGACAGAAAGTAAAAAAAAAAAAAAAAACACCTATTTCGTTTCTACGTTGGCCCAACACAAGAATATAGTATTGTGGCATTTACAAAAATGATACAAAATATTTTATAAAAAACATGTATATTTATTACATTAAAAAAAAATAGATTTCTCGAGTGAGAATCGAACCTTGAACACAGTTTTAATAATCTCATATATTAAATCACCTAACCATCCAATGCAACCCTCTTATCTTTAGTGGACCCCGCTTAAACGTGGGTAAAATCACTCTCCCGGTTAGAAATACTTTGGTGACAATTAATCTTATATCTACTCTCATGAAATTTAACACCCTAAACACTAGATAGTACCGTATATTTTAATTTAATAATTTTTTTAATTGGATAATACAATCTATAGTCTGTTTAGTTAATTTGCAATAAATTAAAATGTACTAATATATATTTTTTAATCTATGCTAAATGTTTTTATTTTTTGTAAAAAATTAGTTTTAGTCAAAAAAATCTTATTCTTTAAATTGAAAAAGACGGATTAAAAGAATAATATTATTATTGTCTAGCCATATTATTAAAAAAATTAATATGTTTATGTAAATCAATCATGATTTACAAAATGTATATCTATAAATTTGTACTGTAGTGTTTAAAAATAAATTATTTATTTAAAAGATCATATAGTATATTTTTATGGTTATGAAAAATAGTAAAAATAAATAAAAAAAGAAAAATTTAAATAAAAACTGAAAAGAGACTATTTTGTAATTTTATAAATTTTTAGAGTCCTTTTTATAAATTTTTAAAACTATTAGGGTATTTTTGTAATTAAAACGAATAGAATTCCGTTAATTTAGACGGAAAATAGCAAATTGGACAAAATCGACTAACGGTTGGATAGTTTAGGGTAATATTGGTTAACCAAAAAAGAATAGGGTAGAATTGACGACGCATGTAAAATTTTGAGTAGATCCGCCAATTTTTCCATTTTCCTTGCGTTCCTTTTGCCCGAATTCTTGCAGGAATATCTCACTAACAGAACCATAAATTTTGAGGTATACATGCATGAATGAAACTTAGGTTATGAACCAAGAATAAAAAATGCCCAACTTTTAGTTGATTCCAAGTACTCAATGTACATCATCACACACCCTCTTGTACTTGGGCTATGGGATGAGCCGGGTAACTTTCGCTGATGCGGTCTTGTCATTGGAGGTCTTGTCATTGGAGGCAAAAACATCTTGGCCTGTCATTGAATTTAATCGCTTTGAATTGTTGGGGGTGTTCTGATAAGAGTGAGTCGAGATTGAAGAAGAGGGTTGTAGAGAAAAAAAAAATTGGGGTGGATCCATGGAGGAATGGGGTGGCGAGGGTGAGGGATTTTAACTGGGTTAAGGGAAGTTGGATCAATGGTGAGGGTGAGTGATTTGAACTGCTGTAAGGGAAGTTGGAGGAATGGCGAGGTTGCGTTGCCGGCACTTGGAGAGAGCGGATAAGAGAGGAAAGTGGCAGGAAGCCATTTTCACTTTAATAGTCTCATTCATCTAATCATATATGTCAAACTATTATGGACAGTAATCGAAGGTGTGGCAAGCATGTTACATTATTTTGTCGCGGCAAAGTCTATATCTTATCGAAGAATCTGAGATCATTTTGGTAGAAAAACAATCAAGAAATCAAGATTTGTAGTGAAACGTGAGAGAGAATTTAGGGTTAAAAATTTGTATTAAATTTGTATGATTGGATTCTGTACAATTACTCCTTCTCAGACATAGTACATATTTATATCTAATCCGTACAAATTGCAAACTATATAGAATTTACAAGTTTGGTCCCTTAACTAAATAAAATGTACAAACTATACTACTATGTACAATATTTACAGCCCCTCAAGCTAGACGACAGAGAGGATCTTGGAGACCAAGCTTGACCAGTAGTGACTGAAACAATGGCTGGGGAAGGGACTTGGTAAATATATCGGCGAGCTGATCCTTCGAGGGGATGTAGAGTGGAACAAGAAACCCGGTTTGATAGTGATGGCGAACAAAATGACAGTCTATTTTTAGATGCTTTGTTCGTTCATGGAAGACCGGGTTTTCTAGATGCTCTGCTATTATCTTGAAGGCTCATATAAGCCCACATGTGGTTCCACCACCTCAAAACCAATTGGCAATGAGGGGAGTAGCACATGGGGTATATATGTGATCAAGTGTGCTTTCCAACTCTAATGTGAGACAAGTGTCTTTTACTTGTTTTTCAAGTTCAAAGGGGTTTTAACACCCCCTCTCAAGCCCAAAAAGGTTGGACAAGGCCCATTTGAACATCCAAAGCCCAACACGGATAAATCAAAATCCTCGGATACACTGTCGGGTAAGTCAGAGTCCTCAAATATATTGTCGGGTCAGTCAAAGTTCTCAGATATACTACCGGGTCAGTCAAAACCCAATACGGGTAAAGTCAAACTGGAGAAACCGCCGAATCGGTCAAGTCCACCCACAAAGTTTGCGGATAAAACCGGGTCTGATACCATCTTACCGAAGAATCTGAAATCATTTTGGTAGAAAAATAATCAAGAAATTAAGGTTTGGAGTGAAACGTGAGAGAGAATTTAGGGTTTGAAGAATTTGTATTAAATTCGTATGATTGGATTCGGTACAATTACTCCTCCTCAAACATAGATACTACACATTTATATCTAATCTGTACAAATTGCTAACTATACAGAATTTACAAGTTTGGTCCCGTAACTATACAAAATGTACAAACTATACTACTATGTACAACATTTACACTATCAAAAGCGGCACTTCATTCTACTCCACGACAAGGACAGTAGAACTCAGATTTTGAATAGATATATATTTTTTCCCTTCTGACTTACTGTCAAAATAAAATTCCTCACACCAAACCAAAAATTACAGATTGTTACAACTTACAACATGCAATTCGTATCAAACAAAACAATATAATTGTATCAGGCCATAGAAGAGTATAACAAATATCTTCCCAACTGGGATGTGGTTCATTCGTTTGATTTAAGTGTTACCTAAATTAGTCGGAAGCAACATTGTGTATTACAACAATCTTGTTATGTCTTGAACATTCAGATTAAGAAGTTTGAGTAAAACCTTTGCTGGTTGCTGCTTCCACTACCTTGTGATTGCTTTACTTAAGAAACAAATTCATTACTACATTTCGATACTGTCATGATTTCTTCAAGTGAAAGACAAGAAAAAGGGGGATGATTGTGATTTACATACACAGTATATACTTGTATATATTTGCATATACAAATGAGTAAACTTCAGGCAGAAATTGGATGGTTTTGGAGCCTCAAAGTAAACTTCTCAATGTGATCTAGGACTGAGCTCTAATGTTATGCCAAATTAGTCCTGTCAAAAGCATGAAACAGAAGGATGTCAAATGTTTCACGAGATTTATCCAAGACATGGAAGAGTAGGATAATAACATCCATCTATAGAAAATGTGGGACAAGAGTTGTTAAAGAGCTTGCTAATGTGTTAGCGTATACGCCTGCTTTCCTTAAAACGGACAACTAAATTGATTTCAGGAAACATAGTTGTAACTTGATTTCAGGCTATTCTTCTACGCATCTGCATGGTTTACCTTAAGATTGCTGACAGACAACTGCAATTACTCTTCTGAGGAAGCTTCAGATATCCGCGCTTCAGATTTCTCATTTGAATACCTTCAAAATCACATTCAGAGAAGTAAATGAGAAATCAGAATACCTTCAGCTTATGATAGCTCTTACGGAAACTTTTATGCGGTGTAAGGTTTTGAACAAAAGTGAACATCATCGCTTGGCTTTTAGCATAAAACTACAAAACAGTGGGAAAACCCAAACATCCTTTAACAGGAGGAAATAGAAGAGAGAAGATCGGGGGCTGCTCTGGAAATCAGATTTTAGAGGAATATCTTTTGATGGATAATAATCATCAACAATATCTCACATTGAACTGCAAACAGTCGAATGACATTTTCATGGATATAATAACGGTGAGTTCTCAATGTTTTATGGTATACCAATCAAATCAATGTGCAGTTGTCAGAATCAGAAATATTGGATGATATTTCTCCACTAAAACTATAAAGGCACACTTGCAAGTCTATAACTCTATGTCAGATTTGGTGCAGTGCTTGTATTGGATACTTTAAACATGTATGACAAACTAGGAAAGTTGAAGGTACAGACAAGGGAAAGAATTCAAGTAAAACCATAATGTCACTTTCAGAAGATTTCATAAGCAAAAGACTACAAAATTATAATTTACTCTGGTGCCCTTTGTCCTCAGCCAAGGAAGTTTTAGGAACCAGTAGTTAGAGGCTTAGAGCATGATTCCTAGAAACTATGCGTCTGATAAACTATTTCTTAAGAGACTTACCTCGAGAGAATAGTGACCCATATAAGTTCCACGCAATCCACCCAAAGAAGTCTTTGCTCTATAGGAATCACACCATAGGTAATCACATGGGCAAATGGCCAGAGTTTCCATCCTGCCTGGTGGATTAAGAACAACAATTGATTACCTTTTCAACATATCTGGATTTGCCAAATGAAATCATTTTCCAATGAACTTATATCTTCAGTATTTTACAAAGAATGGTTCGTGAACTAAGTTTTACACGACATGCCATATAGGCACCCATGCTTATCATAAACATATTGATACCAAAAACTGGAATGTCCTCTAGTCTAATCCAAAATCGTATACACCAGAAGATGATAAAGAGATTTTGCAAGCACACATGCTTCCATTGACAGTGGTCTGGAGTTGATCTATGCATAGAACTATAATTGGACTGGAAGACCTTCAGTTTTGGAATCATGATTGACCCTAAACGCAAAATAGATACGTACAGTAGCCATAAATATGATCAAACATGAAAGGACCAATAATATACATGCAAAAAGATAAACATATTGAGCTTCATAGAAAAGAGACATAAACTTGGAAGGTACCGTACTCGTATAATTAAAGTTCTACATTAAAGAGACCAAAAGTGGAAGGACCAAAAGAAGTTCGAACTGAAAAGAACATGGAAAAAAGGCAACTTACTGTTAACATCGGCCAAAATGTCGATTTCAGTTCATTAAATATCCTGACGGGGGGTTCAAAGCGCAAGAATCCTAGAACCACATAATAAATACTATTCCAAACAGCTGCCCATATAGTTTGATCAAAAGCAACCTTGGCAGGAACCACCCACCAACCTTTGAAAGGAAAAAGGGCCTGCAACCGAAAGTTAATCTAAGAATATAAACTAAAATTGAACACCTCAATAGCAACCAAACTATATAAAACCACAAACCTCACCTCGCAAAATTGGTAATAATAGTGAGAGAGTGATCCGTGAAGCGAAAATCCAACAATTCCGGACCTAAGCATTCTTTTCCGATCAAACTCAAAAAGCGGTTTCCCTTCATAGCACTACACAACACCACATTAATGTGTTTAATTAAACCAACGGAAGGCCAAAAAAAGGGCAAAAATCATGATGCAATTGTGTTTACAAACTGGAACATACTTGAGCAATCCAATCTCCAAGTGAGTAGACGATTCCACTAATCACCATTTTAGATAGAATGGGATTGGACTTCAGAGCTTCTTCATAAGCATCCCAATTGTGTTCTGGTGCATATCTCAAAATCTCAAAAAGAGTCCAACCCTGATCAAAATATCAACACAAATCAATCTCACCAGTACTAAACCGTAGCAATGGCATAATATTCAATCATGGATCCAGTTAGTATTAGTTCCTTCAACTTATCCTCAATTCAAAAAACTTCAGGGTAGAAACTAGAAAAGAATATACGGAGTATATAATCTATATGCATACAACCAAACCTATAAAGTAAATCACACTGCAACATTCAAGAAAATTTGGTACCTATGAACAATATCCAAAATTCAGAAATAAATAAAACCATATATAAGCAGTACTACCAAAAGCAGACATGGGGCTAAAGTTTGGAATGAAAATGACAGGAAAAACCTAGAAAGAACCCCAATTATCATCAAGGAAATTGAGAACTTACATGCCAGTAGTCATGATCGATAGAGAGCAATTTGGTAATGGCAAGAGTACCAGCTCCAAGAACGATGGCGGCATTAATCAACCTATCACTATCACTAAGTACCTCAGATGATAACTTCCCTTCCTCCACCTCTTCCCCTTGACTAATTTTCCCTTCTTCTGTTTGTTCATCTTTATCACTGGATTCTGCTTTCGTTACTATGTCTTTATCTTCTTCTACCACAGCTTTAATGGGCCAAAGATGCAAAACATGCCTAGTGTTTTTTGACAGGATATTTGCATTCAAGATTGAATTTTTATTGAACAATAATTGAGAAGGGGGATGCAGCAAGGATGAACTTGAGTTGGGCTTCGTGGGTTGAGCTGAGGAAAGGATGTGGAAATGATTTATGATCTTAAAAGACGCCATGAATGGAGATAAGAAAACTGCTAAATTCGCTTATAAAAGAGCTATTTAAATATTTGCAGTTTGTTCTTATTCTTTTTAGCCCACCGACTTCAATAAGAAGAATAAGGGGTTTACAAAGAAAGCGTGTAAAAGTATCAAACTCTTTGAGTACATTTTGAACACATGGGACTTAATACAGCCACAAGGAAGGAGGGAGAACTGAGAAAGTGAAAAGGAAATCGCTGAAGAAGTCAACTCCTCCTTCTGGGTTCATCAGTTTCAATTTCACTTCATGAGAAAAACCTTGAAGAAATCCCTTTCCACCATTTCAGAATCCCTTATAGCCCATTCATTTTCCACCAATGCTAAACCTCATTTTACCCGACCAAAACCCAAAAATTCATTCCCAAGATCAAAGTTTTCCTCAAAATCCAGATGGGTTTTCGGAGTTACCTCCCCTGTTCCGCCGCCTGAATGGGTTGAGCCCGTTTTTGACCTCTCGGACCTTGTTAAAGACCCTAAACAGCTCCAACTTTCTCCATGGGTCGCTAAAATTCTCAGTCTTCTGGATGGTTCACCTGATATGGAGAACAAATTATCCGCTTACTGCAGAAATTTCCTGATTAGATTATCGCCAAGGTTTACTGCATTTGTGTTGAAATCGGAGAAGCTTTGCGGGCAGGGAGACATCGCGTTTAGATTCTTTAATTGGGCCGGTAAGCAAAGTGGTTATGCTCATACTCTTGATTGCTTTGTCTCTTTGATTGAGAATTTGTCCGTTACGAATGATTTGGATAAGATTAGGTGTATATATGGTGAATTGAAGGAGAATAATTTGTTAATGAACTTGATTTCTGCCTCTTCTTTGATTAAATGTTTTGGAAATCTTGGAATGGTTGAGGAGTTATTGTGGGTATGGAAGGAAATGAAAAAGAATGGGGTTGAACCTACTTTGTATTCTTATAACTCTCTGATTAATGGGCTTGTGAATTCCAACTATATTGTGTCAGCTGAAAAGGTTTTTGAGGTTATGGAGAGTGGGAGGGTCTTTCCAGACGTTGTTACTTATAATACAATGATCAAGGGGTATTGTAGGTCGGGTAAGGTTCAAAAAGCCATGGAGAAATTCAGAGAAATGGAAGTCAGGCATGTGGAACCAGATAAGATAACTTACATGACCTTGATTCAAGCATGCTATGCTGAGGGAAATTTCAGTAATTGTTTAGGACTTTATCATGAAATGGTGGAAAAAGAATTGGAGATTCCGTCACATGCCTATAGCCTAGTAATAGGAGGACTGTGTAAAGAAGGGAAATCTTCGGAAGGATATACTGTTTTTGAAAGCATGTGTAGAAAGGGATGCAAAGCCAATGTAGCTATTTATACTGCATTAATTGATTCGTTTGTTAAAAACGCAAATCTTGAAGGTGCAATGAATATTTTTGGAAGTATGAAGAGCGATGGGTTTGAGCCAGATGAAGTTACATATGGAGTCATTGTTAATGGTTTATGCAAGAATGAAAGGTTAGAGGAAGCTATGCAATGGTTTGAATATTGTCAAGAAAATGGCGTGCCTGTTAATGCTGTGCTTTATTCAAGTCTCATTGATGGCCTTGGAAAGTCTGGAAGATTAGATCAGGCTGAAAAGTTATTTCAAGAGATGGTTGAGAAAGGATGTCCTCGGGATTCATATTGTTATAATGTGCTCATTGACGCCCTGGCTAAGGGCGGGAAATTAATTGAAGCTGTTGGATATTTAAAGAAAATGGAAGATGAAGGTTGTGATCCAACTGTTTATACCTACACCATATTGATAACTGGCTTGTTTAAACAACATCGAAATGAAGAGGCGTTGAAGATGTGGGATGCAATGATTGACAAGGGTATAACTCCAACTGATGCATCATTTAGAGCTCTTTCCACCGGTCTATGTCTTTCAGGTAAAGTGTCAAGAGCTTGTAAGATATTGGATGAGTTGGCGCCGATGGGTGTTGTCCTGGACACTGCTGTAGAAGATATGATCAATATTCTGTGCAGAGCTGGTCGTATAGAACAAGCTTGCAAGTTAGCTGATGGTGTTGTTGATCGTGGCCGAGAAGTTCCCGGTAGAGTTCGTACTATTTTAATCAATGCCCTAAGGAAAGCAGGAAATTCAGATTTAGCTATGAAATTGATGCATAGCAAGATTGGCATAGGTTATGATAGACAGGGAAGCATAAAAAGAAGAGTTAAGTTTCGGGGTCTGATTGAGAATTGATCTTTCATCGACTCATTATGCCTCAGGTGATGAGAGTGTGTGGCCACTGCAACCAAAAAAAAAAAAAAAGGAAAAACAAGAGTTGCAATTGTTCCTTATGCCTTTGTGCCAAGCTTTGAATGTGATAAATGCTGTTGAGGATGCACAAGTTATTGATTTTATCAGCAACATTGAAAATGCCAAGAAAAAAATAAGAAAAAGAAAAAGGTATGCTGCATCTGAATGTTGTTTTTTCTTGAATAGAACTCCATTTTTCCTGGTTTCTTCCACTTGTTTTTACCAGTGCTTTTCTTTTTGCATTTGCATGCTAATTTGAGCTACCATATAGCTGTGCATCACTGCATCTTAATGATGGTACATTGATGTTGTTAGCAGGACTGCCCATATTGATTGCAGTAGTCTTCCACTTAATGATTTTTTGCTCCAAAAATTTATGATTTACCTGGATGATTGTTGCAGTTATACTTGTTTAGTGATTGTAATCATGAAGGTAGTATATGCTTTTAATGTCTTTGTCAGTGTTCTGAAAGTCTATAGTGTTTTCTGGCTCTTCAATCATTTTGTTCATTGCATCGTTGTGCATCACTATTCAACTGCTCTTGCCAGTTATTTGAAGTTCTCTGTAAAATCTAATTTATTCAACTAATGTGAAGTCTTCTCTGCCTGATTTGTACTTCAGACACTTTTTTGTTTTGTTTTTTTTTTTTTTCGAATTTTTGTGCCTCGAGTTTGTTGTAGAGCTAGGTCTACGCTTAAAAGTTGTTCCCTTGTTTGCCATTCCTGTTTTGTTGGATCAATTAGCTGTCATAGATCTAGCATTTGCAGTGCAGTTGAAACATTGTCTGCTTTGCATCAAACGGTTTCTTTTAACTTTAAAGCAGCTCGTAAATATCTTAAACAGATTGTGTCCTTTTACTAACAATGTGTATAATCTCAGACTCGCATTATTGTAATGGGTCATGAAGCCCTCGTGTAATTCAAGAACAGAGCACTGGAAGGTACCATTTCAAATGATGTGTCTTCATCTATTGTTTTCGAAATGATATACATAAGGTTTACATGGTCCATTGCAGTTTGACTTGCTGCAGAATCCTGCTTGCTTACACAAAGCAGAAAGAGTTTCCTTTCCCAGTAACACTCGAATATGGTGTTGGATCAAGATCGAACGCTTGACCATCAGATGAAGAAGTTTAATGTACCATGAATACTGGTGATTGTGAATCAACGTTTGCTACAAATCCTGATGCCGACATATGATGGGTTTTTGGCATGGTATGATGAATGTTTAGTTAATATATATATATATATATATATATATATATATATATATATATATTTTCAGTTGTTGAATAACGTGCTAATCACATTGCAAAATATTATCCAATGGCATGGAGTCCTTTTACAAAAATAATCAAAGCTTGGAAAAGCCCGTTCTCTTTGTCTTCGAGCTTTCATTCCTCAATCCACTGATTCGTTCCTTCGTATACCTCCCCACCAATAGATAGAAATAAAAAGATAGAAATAACCAAACCAAAATGCCAGTACTATGCGGCTGCTTCAAAGCCAACGTGATGCTCCTTGGTCAGATGACCAAGATATTGGCGAATACCACAGATAATCAAGAAAAGAGTACCTATAATCACATGAAAACCATGAATTTTGCCAACACTAAAATTGAAATGCAATTCACTTATTCAAAATGAGACCAACGAAGGTCGATCGACAATCATATCAACAAAGTAATTGAACGCTCCTCCTCCTTCAATCCTTGGAAATCAAAACGGGTCGATCGCAATGCACTTCCAAATCTAATCCATTCTCCTACTACATCTCTGGACAAAACATTTTAATCTCAAGGGATTTTTAGCTTCAGATGTACAATGTAGTTTATAACTTTGAAACTAATCAAAACTTTTGTTTCAGCAAGTCGGTGAAATGAAAACCACATTGACTTGAGTGTAAGAATTGTTAGGAGGATTGGCGTCGGGATTCCGATCAATCTACACCTTTCTTCCCATTAATAGAAACCCGTTATCTGCTGCTTTGATACACACATTTCGCCTCAGTTGGTGTGTCTTTAATTATTTTTCTTAGGGTTTAAATTGGTAAAGTAAGTTTGACCTGGGTTCGAATCTTGACAGTATCATCCTTCCTTGCATATTTATGTTTTATTTTTTCCTTATTCTGTTTCTAGAAGATCATAGCATTGTTGGTTCCAAATTGTGTTAACGTTAGCTAACACCGTTTATGGAGAGTTAACCAGTGTTGTCAGACTGGGATTTAAAACCGGATCGGTGTCAATAGGGGGTCACTAGGTTACTGGGTTAACCCCGTTAGCTCGAACACCGTTTATGGAGAGTTAACCAGTGTTGTCAGACTGGAATTTAAAACCGAATCGGTGTCAATAGGAGGTCACTAGGTTACTGGGTTAACCCTGTTAGCTCGAAAACAAAAAACGGGATGATGTTATCAAGATGTCAAAATTACATATTTATTATAAATATATAAATAATAATATAAAATGTTTATTAAGTAAAAAAATCTAAGTTCAAAAAAATCACAAAGGAATGAATAGTTGAATTCTACTGTTTATTTACTACAATTACAACTTAATAGTACACAAGAGAGAGAAAAAAAAAACTAAAAGAACATAAAAAAATTTTCACAATAAAAAAATTCAAAAAAATTAACTTTAAAAAATAAAACTGGATGATGAGGATTGGGTTTGGGGAGTGGTCTCAGGCGTTGGGCAACAAATCAGAAAAACAGGAAAAAAAAATGCAGTTTTTGGGGGAAAAAGTAAAAATAAATAAATTAATAAATAAAAAATAAAAAATAAAAATGAAACCCAGGTCAACCGGTTTATACCGACTGTCTAACCACCGATTTTGACCGAATTTGACCGGTGAACTACTGTAGCGAGTCTTGTCCCTGATCAGGCCGCTCTATATAGAGGTTCGAGGTTGAACCGGTCAGACTGGTCCGGGTCTGACAACATTGGTGTTAACAGCTATATTATGTACTATGATTAAGTTTTTTGTTCTTATCGTTTAAGTAATATCAAATTCTCCTTCCTCGTTTCTTCCTTGTCTCTCAGAAATCCTCTCTTACCCTTCTTCCTATTTCTTCTTTTACCCTCTGAAATCCATCTGTATTTTTAATTTCATGTCCATTACGTTACATTTGGCTATCAGAGCTTAGCTCCTCTGATTGTGGGGGAAGTAAGTATGGTAGAAACAAGGAGTGCAGTAAGTGATGAGCACGTTAACAAGTTGGTTAATGAGGCAGTTTCATCGGTTGAAAACAGGATTGAAGACAACATTCAATCCTTAGACATGAAATTGATCAACCTGTGTTGTATTTGAAATCCCAGATAGACAACATTCAAGAAGAAGCACGCTAGTCGAAAGATAGATGAGAAAAAATTGAGTCTTGGGTGCAGGTGATATCTAAAGAAAAGTTTGTTCGCAAAGGAGAGAGTTCAACCCCAGATCCAGAAAAGTCACCCCTTTTGGATACTCCGAAGATTCCTCCCAAAGTTGTTATAGAGGATGATACTCCATGGAATGTAAGGGATGGTGGAAATAGAAACTATGGGTATATTTATCCCAAGGTGGAACTTTTGAGTGAGAGAATCTGAGGGAATGGCTTCGAAAATGTGAAAAATATTTCACTATGTATCAGACTCTTGAACTGTCAAAGGTGGCCACAACAGAATTGTGTTTCAGTGGCAAGGTTGAGGTGTGGTTCGAAGGGGTGAAAACGGTCAGAGGAAGGTTAAACTGAGAAGAATTCTCAGTAGCTTTGGTCAGAAGGTTTGAGCTTAAAGGAAGGAAAGATGAGTTCGAGGAATTTAATAAACTACACCAGCATGGTTCTGTGTTGGACTACATAGAACAGTTTGAAAATCTTAAATCCCAAGTACTCAAGAAAGACCCTCGACTGACGGAGCAGTACTTCATAGCTAGTTTCATCAGTGGCTTGAAGGAAGAAATTAAGCCTGTAGTGAGGATGGTGACACCCAGGGATTTAGTCGATTATACCTGAATGCCATTGACGGAAAGACTACGAGGAGAACCATTGTCAGAGCAAAAATTAAAGGAAGGTGGATGAACATTTTGATAGACACTGGTAGTACATCAAGTTTTGTGGATCCTAGTGTTTTCAAGGCATTATCTCTGCGTTATCAAACCATAGAACCGTTCTGTATTAAAATGGCAGACGACAATACGACTGTGGGTTCATTTCTGTGCTTGGAGCTTTGCTGGGATATCCAACAGTATGAATTTGCCTTTGATTTCAAGGTAATGAACTTGAGGGGACTAGACACCATACTAGGGGTGGACTGGATGTCTCACGTGATCTTATTTGATTATAATAATGATAGCATGCAGTTAACCAGAAGACAGAGGAGATACGTGTTGTATGGGGTAACTCAAGACCCTTCTTTGAACATGATCAAAAGTGGTGACCTGAGGGAATACTTGGAAGTCAAAAAGAGAAAGAGATACTGTAAAGCTTACCTTCAGGAAGAAAGGAATTGTATCCTATCAGATTCCAAGGTGGACAACCTGCCTGATAAGTTGGAAAGTTTACTGAAGGAGTTTGATGCTGTGTTTTTGGTTCCTACTGGACTACCACCGGTCAGAGACATAGAGCATTGTATTGAACTTAAACTAGGATCTCGACCTTTCGATGCCGAGCCTTAAAAATACCCATATTCTCATAAAGATGAGATAGAAAGGCAGGTTGATGTGATGATGGAAATAAGATTGTCAGGAAGAGTAGCAGTCCTTATTCCTCGCCAGTGCTTTTGGTCAGGAAGAAATACTTGGAATGGAGATTCTATACTGATTACCGCAGATTAAATGAAATGACAATCAATGACAGGTACCCGATTCCCGTAATTGAAGAGAGCTTTTGGATGAATTGAAGGGGGCGAATTACTTCTCCAAGCTTAATCCAGGTCGGGATACTTTCAGATTAGAATGCGGGAAGAAGACATACCAAAAACGGCCTTCCAAACGGACCACGGCCACTTCGAATTCTTGGTGATGCCTTTTGGACTCACCAACGCTCCCGCCACTTTCCAAGCACTAATAAACAGTGTCTTTAAACCGTTGATACATAAGTGTGTTTTGGTTTTTTTTGATGATATATAGGTCTACAGCTACACTTGGGAAGAACACTTAAAACAACTCAGAATGGTATTGCAAATCTTGCTGGATCATAAGTTATATGCGAAGAGATCCAAATGTGTTTTTGCGGAGAGAAAGGTGGAATACTTAGGTCATGTATTTCCTCCCAAGGAGTTGGCATGGACTCAGAGAAAGTTAAATGCATCAAGGATCGGCAGGTTCCACAAACCGTAAAGGAATTGAGGGGGTTCCTTGGATTGACGGGATACTATAGGAGATTCATTCGTGGCTATGGAATCATAAGCAAAGCCCCCACTAACTTGTTGAAGAAGGACGGGTTTTGCTGGAATGATCAGGCTACCAAAGCATTTGAAAACCTAAACAGGCTATAATGGAGGCGCCAGTTCTACAAATGCCTGATTTTTCTAAGCCATTTACTGTCGAGACGGATGCCTGTGAAACCGGAATGGGTACCGTACTGCTGCCAGACAAGCATCCCATTGCTGGCAGTTGTGATGGCAGTATCGAAGTGGATACTTTACCTTGTGGAAAATCATTTCATCTTAAAAATCGATCACCAAGATCTTAAGTTTCTCTTAGAGAAAAACTCAGTACAACCATGTAACATAAATGGCTTACCAAGTTGCTTGGCCTTGATTACAAAATACAGTACAAAAAGGAAGCCAAAAACCAGACTGCAGATGCACTTTCAAGAATTCCTAACTTGGCAAACCTGGAGGAGACCAAAAAGGAAGCCAGAAATGATGATTGTTTGGCCATATCATCAGACCAACTAGTTTGGATGCAGGAAATAGAAAAAAGTTATGAAGGAGATGAGGAGGCACAACGTATTCAAGCTGAACTTGCCATTAGTCCAGGAGTTGACAATGGATTCCAACTGGTGAATGGTATCTTGAAGATGAAGGATCGGATAATGTAGGGAAGGCAGGTGGAATTAGAAAGAGTATAATGGAAGCCATGCATTCTTCTCCTCTTGGCGGTCATTCAGGACAAATGGCCACAATTCAGCAGATCAGATCGCTCTTTTTTTGGCCTAAACAGAAGCAAGAGATTGAGGACTTTGTCAGAACATGTGTGCTGTGTCAAAGGAATAAAGGTGAGCACGTTCACTATCTGGGGTTACTACAGCCACTTGCCATTCCTCAACGTCTTCCTCCT